CTCAATGTAGTACAGGAATATTAGCATATTACAGTTAGCATATTGTTTTGCCTTACCACAAAAATTCTCTATCAGAAACACTCTGGCCCTTATACACATGGTTTTAAGTCTGATTCCTTATTAAAAACGCTTCAGTATGTCTAATTTATCATTGTACTATGTCTGATTCCACAAAATATGATTAAGGATTTAATATATTAAGTTTCATCCTTTGAATTGCTCCCATTAGGAAAATAAGTAATCAGGACCATCCTGAAAAGTACACGTATGCATGCTATATGGTCTATTCACGTTCCAAAATGGAGTAAAACATTCTACATGAGCAGAAGCTTGTCGGTGACTCATAAAGGTCGCCCTCACACACATCATTACAATATCCCAGCCAAGAGTTTGCCAAACCATGACCAAAATGAAAAGGAGAAAAATATATTTGCCCCACATTAAATGTCAGCTACTAGATTCTGTACAGAGGTATCAGCTTAATAGCTATTTGTCATAGTTGGGCCACACTGAGCCAAAATAGCCAACCAGTGACTCAGTCATCAGATGCATGCTTTGCCCTGGAGAGAGCTTGATGCAGCCAAGGCAGCTGTGCAGCTGAAGCAGACCCTAGGGCTGCCTAAATACCTCTACCTCTGTTGGTTTTAGTGGCTCAGCTGGTGGCCCAGCACAGACCCCCATCCCCCAGAGATGGTCACCATGCCCTTCATAGGCTGGGGTGGTTTACCATGTCCCTTTATGGCCACAGGTGGGCAAAGGAGCACCTAGAAAACGCAAGTGAATTATCTGGATTCCACTCATATTCCTGTCACCATCATGTAAAAACAGCCCTACCCGCCTCCTGATGAAGAGAGTCACTTATCTCTGCCCAGACTGATCTCTTCTCTCCTATTGGTCTCTGGACATAAAAAGCCAGAAATGGTACACTACCCAACCCACCACAAATGGATTATCTATGGGGAACACTAATGAAATAGAAATACCTTTGATTTAGGGGTGCCTGGAAGGCTCAGTCAGTTAAGTGTCCAACTTCCGCTCAGGTCATGATTTCATGGCTCGTGGGTTCGAGCCCCATGTCAGGTTTTGTGTTGACAGCTCAGAGCCTGGAACCTGCTTCGGATTCTGTGACTCCCCCTCTCTCTATCCCTTTCCCGCTCATGTTCTGTCTCTCTTTCAAAAATAAATAAATGTACTAAAAAAAAAATACCTTTGATTTAATGAGTATCAGCGACTTAAAGGATATCAAATCCTTGCAGAGTGTTGCCTCTGAGCTGCTGCCATCAGTGTGTCTTCAGCACACCATTACACGCTTCTAGAAGCCATCCTGGTAGTGAGTTCACACCACCTTCCAGGATCCCAACCAGGATGTTAAGTCCTATTAAGACAGCTCTTATCCTGCAACCCAAGGACCTAATGCGGGTGCTATTTAACTCTCCCCTAATTTATGTTCTGACTTGACCTTCATCCTGATGCCTGCCTCACGTACTCTTCCAGCTGGCCAATTCTTACAGCTCCTTTGGGGTAGGGTTTATTTTTCTCTGCAAGCCCAGTACCTCTCCAGCTGAGTGTTGCTTAGCCCTAATTCAAGGCCTAGTAACCTGGAGATAGGACAAGTCCTGAAGGGGGCACCTGTTATCGAGGGAGAGCTCGGCTTTGCCAGCCATCTTGGGGGTGGAGTGGGAGTGTCTGCCCTTACCAGAGAAGGGTGGGGCATGACTGTAGGCTCAGAAAGTTCAGTAGTCAGCGGAGTAAACATCTTTAGCAGCATCCATTCAGGTGCCTCCAACTCACTTGTCGGGGTCCTGGCTCTTCCCAAAAAGTGCCTTGACCTTGGCATAACGGACCTGCCTTGATTGGCGACTGTCTTTGAATTTTATCCAGACAGACTATTAAATCCTGGGCTTGGTCCTCAGTTTTCTCAGCCATCAGGCTGAGATGAAAAACTAGTTCCAGGGGCCTCTGGCTTTCACACCTGGCTTCCCACTGCCTGTTATTGCCCTCAGCTATTCATTACGTTTCTATAGAATAAGAATGGCCTAGCAATAGCCGTACAACGCTTTTATCCTCACAGTTACAATTTTCTCCATACTTCTCAAACGCCAGCCAGTGCACTAACGCATTCCTCCCTCCCACACCAGCCCAGTTCACTGCCAGTGCAAGGTGTACAACTTGAACTTGCGCCAGCCAAATGCCTGTTCTCCACTCACCACAGATACTGGGGGTCTGGCTGCGTAACTCTGCATCTACCACACCATTAATCTCTGGTACCTATTTCAGAGTACACAAAAAAATGAAGCAGTTTCTATATAAACATCGGAATGCTTTCCAAAATGATTAAAAAATGGAGAATGAGAAATATCAAAAGTATGTAAGTGAAATACTATATTTATTCAAAGAGAAATACATAAAACGTCTGTGTAGTAATACTATTTCTGTCCCTGTGTCTCTGAAAAGTGGCTATGTACTCACCTTGGTCTATACATTTAGGCATTAATAACAGGTACTGTTCAGGGCATACATTGTTTAGAAAAAAATGAAATGAGTCAACTGCTAAAACATACATATCACGACTACTTAAGATAACATGAATATTTAATGAAAATTTAGAACTTAACATCTGACTTTCATCCTGCAGACCTACAGGGAAAAACACAGTAATTCATTTAACCCATCACATTTTACAAAATCAGACAAAACGAATATAAGCAGTGTTTTTTAATAAAAACAACAATTTAATTTCCAACGAATATATTACCATCCTGTTCGTTTATCCTGTATATGTATCTAATTGGCATAACCTACTGATTACTAAAATCAGCAAAAATCCAATCCATGATACTTCAATTGCTTGGATCGATACACATCTTAACATTTGGAACTCATTTTTCTTATGCTATGAGACTGATTATCAGTTCCTATAAAAATGCTATGCCCTACTCCTTGCTCCTGTAAGTGTGACCAGTCTTTTGCACAGCACTTCTGAACACCCACACTCAATTCATCAAGCACACACATCCTGGTTCCTCTCAGACACAGTCACCCATGGGCAAGCAGCTCTCCTAGTTCTCTTGTTCCTCGTAGTGAGCATAGCCACTGGCATAGGTCCTCCCTAAATTCAAATTGGTAAACAAATCTGACGGCTCCGCATCTGAATCCTTTCCTACTTCGTCTTCTTCCTCTTCGTCATCCTCTGCTTCATCATCATCTTCCTCTTCATCATGGTAGCTGCTATCACCATACTTATCAGAAGAAAGGTTCTTCCAATAGGCATCATACCCAGAAGCTCCATCTCCTTCTTCACCTCCAGTCTGCCTGCCAAATTTCAGGGAGCGTGCTACAAAAGACAGATACGTACGTGGCACTTTGTTCCGATTCTTTACATCTTTTGTATATTGTAAAGGAGAGTGAAGATGTAAAGAATCAGAACACTCTCCTTTACAATATACAAAGTTACATGCATTTGATTGGCTGCTTCTTACTCCCATTTTCCTAATTTCCTCCGTTAACTGGAAAGAATGGAGACCTTAGTAACAACAATCAATTCTATCCTACTCAGAGTTGATGCACATACCATATATAACAAATAATAAAGAGAACAGTGTCATTTCATTAAATCTAGAAAAAGTTGGAAAACAAAGCAAGACTAAGAGCACTCTCCAAATATAATTCAAATAAGGCATGTTAAAAACTAAAATGCCCTTCATTTGATGGGTTAAAATTCTATTTTCAAATCACAGAACAGTTGATTTCATGTCATTACATTTTTCTTAAAAGAGCTATTTTAGAATTCTGGTGACCTTCAAGACAAAGCCCTTCATTTCTTCTGCCTAAGTAGCAATATAGTTTAGTGCAAAAAACCAGCAAATCATCAATCCTACCTCACTATACAACTACACCTTTGATTAAACAAAAGTACTGTCAGAGTCATTTAGAATTATGGTTCCATTCTGCTGTATTTGGTAAAGAGTCAAATTCTCTTTAATAAAACTGTGAGCTGCATTACTATAAGCATGTTTGCAGTAGTCTTATTCTTTCATAGAAAAGTTATATAAAAACCACAAAACAATTTCCTATAAGAATGATATATTACATTGTAAGTATAGCTGCTCAAATACCACACACCTACAAAAAAACTTCAGAATGAATTCCAACTTCCAAGTACCGAAGACTACCAGCACTCAAATATTAAAGATTTATAGCTACTCAATTATTTAACAAGGAAAGCTTCAGCAGAAACGGAAAAATCACTCTTTTTGGTCTTAAATTTCAGTATTCACTGTGTCATTAACTGAGTCGAATGCCAAATATCAAAGTGAATGATGGTATATTTCTTAAGTTAAATTGAGAAACTTCACCTAAAAATTTTCAAAGGCTATAAAATTCCATTTGCTTAAGAGAACACATTCATCTTTTCAAATAGGAAGAAGTGGCAAAAACAAAAATAGAGAAAAAAAGAGATAAATCTTGCCTATGCAAGAAAACAAAATCCCTCCATTGGTATTTTAAGAAGAACCTTACTTGACATGCTGAGATCCTTAGTTTCCTGAGTTTCATGTCCACATTTGGGGCAGGGAGGCTGTTTTCCTTTTTCTTGCTTAAACACCTTGCTCCTTGTATGATCATCACAGAAACAAGCCTATACAGGAGAAGCAAAAATAAGCACGTAAATAAATAATTCAAAAAATACACAAAATTATCATTCAATATCTCAAGGAACTTTAAAGACACAGTTTTGTTAAGGGTAAAGATTAAGAGTTTTGTTGGGATTGGTCCTGATTTAAATTTCTCAAGGGAAATGGTCTTTGCCAGGACCCTCTGAACTACACCCTAACATAAGACAGAAACTATACACAGGGTATGACAGTATAAACACATTTATTCATTCATAAACACATGAGCATTCACAAAGCCCCTGGTGACATAATGGTGACTAGCCTATCCAACCTCAAATATACAACTAACTGGGGACACAGACAAGTAGAAAGGCAACTGCGAGACACTGTGCATTGAAATGGAAGTGCACAGGAGGGGCACTAAACTGGATATGGGATTCAGGAAAGGCTTCCTGGAAAACATGGAGTGTTGGCTGAGATCTGAAGGAAAATAAAGGTACAGTAGGGTAAGCAAAATCGGAAAAGGGATCTAAAGCAGAGGGAACAGCATAGACAACACTTGAAAGCCATTTGGTAAAATGGGAGCAAAGTTGGGAGAGAACGAAGACATAGGGTTAGGAATAGAAGGAAGAACTAGGGAAATGTTTCTGACAGGAAGAGAATCAGTGCACCTGATCTTTGACAAACAGAAATGCTGGACACGAGATCTAAGGACATGGAACATTATGGCAATCTTCACTTTACTTAAACTTTCCTAAGCAAGTGAATTTTGATATTAATTAAAGATATACTCTCAACATTTTGGTCAGAATACTCTCCATAAAACATAATGTGTATAATGTGTAGAAACAAGGAGCCAAGATTCAGCAGACATGTGCATTAGTGTCAACCCTAAGACAAGCCAACTAGATGACCTTTGGAAAGTCACTCAGCTTTCTTAATTCAATTTCACAATCTCCAAAATAAAAGAAGTAAACTACATAATGTTTAAAGACCCTTGTAGATTAATTATAGCTATAAATAATCCAAGATGGAAAAGTCCTGGGATTAAAAACAAAATCAAAAAATAAAAAATAGACCAGTATACCTTACAACGGAGACAGGAATGCTGACCAAGTCGATTGCATGAAACACCTATGGGTGAAAATACATAATGTCCAGATTCAAATTTGAAGTTAAAACACTATTTTCCACAGATTTATACTTGATGCACTTAGATTATTAACATTTTTTTCCTGTCTCAGTATAACCTAGAGGATATATAAAAATGAGATGGAATCCCCAGCCAGAAGAAAAGAACAAACTGCACATACCCAGCATTCTTTAGTTAGTACGGTGCTAATTATTCTACAATCTCCTTCCACTTTTCCAGATCTAGGAGATGGCAAACTTAATTATACTTAGAAAACTTGCAATGAGACATCCTTTTTCCCACAACACTTGGCTGAAGCTCTTTCCTTAATCATATAATGCTTACATTTTATAAAGAATCATTTTCTCCATTAATATAGGACTTCTCCTAATGGTGCAGACTATTGCTATGTTTTGCATAATGTCTGATAAGAGAATAGAATACTTCTGGTGGAAAAGGTGACTATGAAGAGAGAGTAATGTTCAAGTGGGCAGTAAAAGATAGGAAAAAAATCCCAAAATATTTTATCCTTACTTTCATTAAACTATGTTAACTTGGGTTATTCTCTGTAATTACTGACGAAAAACCTAAACGTAAGTACAAATACATTAGAAAAGCAGAATACCTGGCACATACTGACTGTGCTAGAAATGGAAGAAAAAAAATTAGTGCCAGAGGTATAGAGAGAAAATAAATTAAGCTGTATCCTAATAAAGCCTGAATGTAAACTATTAACTTTTATTCAGAGTTCTTGAAAAAATAAAAAGGAAAACAAATAAAAGAAAGCCTATCTTTGTACTTCAAATATTTGACCAGATGTTGCTAATTTGGGAATTCTTTTATTTAATTTTGCCTGGTTCATGGGGAACCCTTTTAATCTGAAAAGGCAAGTATTTTTTTTTTTTTATCAGAAATGATTCTCAAATAGGTGTATTATTATTGCTTCTATCCCACTATCCTGCTTTTTTCTACAGCAATACCAATAATTCAGTTGGATATGTATTATTTGTCCTATGTGCTAATAATAAAAGTTAAAAATCAACTGAGTACTTACTATGTACAGCTGACCCTTGAACAACACGGTTTGAACAGCACAGGTCTGCTTATAGGCAAATGTTTTCAGTAAATACAGTGCAGTACTTTAAATGTAATTTTTCTTCCTAATGATTTCCTTAATAACATTTTACTTCCTCTAGTTCACTCTATTGTACGAATATATGACATAATACATACAACACACAAAATATGTTAATCAACCATTATTTAGGTTATCGTTAAGCCTTGTGGTCAACAGTTTGCTACTGGCAGGAGTCAAAAGTTATATGCAGATTCTCAACTACACAGAGGGTTGGTGCCCCTAATCCTCATATTGTTCAAGGGTTAAGTATATTAGGTATAAACAGGTATACCTAATTACTCCAATAATAACCATACTGTTTCATTCAGTCTGTGGGGGGAAAAAAATCTGAACTCTCAATCATTTCCACTTGAAGATATGCCCAGGCGGGGTTTTCTGTTTCCCTTTTCATTCAGTCAAAAGAAAAGGATATATTTAACTAAAATGTTATAAATCTCTTTCAAATACATAGCCAGAACACATACTGAAAGTACAAAGCTCCCTACCCAATTTCCCAGCATACACCAGGCATTTCCGATACAGAATCTTTTCCTATCCACACTACCCGAGTCTTTGACATGCCACATAAAACAAGCTGTTGCCTATCTTACCCTTATCTTTTCTTCTGGGAACTCAGACTAGGATGGAACATGGCCCTGCCACTATCCTTTCCCTAATTACCTCAACCCCATACACATGCACTCCAGTTAACTGCCCAGTTATTTCTCTCCCCAAGAGTTACAATCTTGGGCTTTTATATAAAGAATGCATTTCTCCCAGATTCCAAAAATAGCCTGACTTTCTTAGACTAGGAATGGTTTTCATTTTCAGTCTATTTCCATGTCTTCAGAGTATTTTATTTATTTTTTAAGTGCTTATTTATTTTTGAGAAAGAGACAGAACACACACTTGGGGGAAGGGCAAAAAGAGAAGGGGACAGAGGATCCTAAGGAGGTTCTGCGCGGACAGCAGAGAGCCCAACGTGGGGCTCAAATTCACGAACCATGAGATCATGACCTGAGTAGAAGATGAACACTTAACCAACTGAGCCACCCAGGTGCTCCCAGAGTATTTTAAAGGACAGGAGGTTGGGATGCTTCAAAGCCTGCTGATAACAAGCCATTTTAAATTAGAAGTCCTCAAGCCATTTTAGTTATTTATAAAAATAGTCAACATATTTGTTTTGTTTTTTCTTAACAAAACACCCTTACCACCAATTATGCAGGTAAGCATTTAAAAAAATTTCTTTATCTCCCAATTCATAAGGATAGGGTAAAACCTATAAATTATGAGGTATGACTAATAAGGGGGTGGAAACAAGGTATACCTTCGTGTATGATTAAGAAAATACTTAAAAACAAACATTAAATGGCAACTTGCAAAGAAAGAATGGCAAAAAAAATAAATAAATAAAGCAACAGGAAAAAAAAAAAGTAAAGATAAATTACAGTAAGCCAAAGACACCCGTAAGCCTGCAATGAGAATGACCTTAATTATCAGGTATCAAAGACATGATTGACAGATTTATCTTAAAATCCTGTCAATAGTCTATTTTGTATTTTTCCTTTGTCTTTTACTGAATCACTAAAACTTCCTGATGAAATCATAGTCTTATCACTCAGAACTGCCGATCTTTGGGGTTCAAATGCTACAAAATACACAAAGCTCTCAAGCCCCAAATAAAGTAAGTCAATTTTATATTACACATTTTGCAGAAACCTAAGAATGGCTCAAAAATGCTATATACTTTGAGATGTTCTTTAACCTCTGAGAGTTTCTATAGGAACACTGCAAGAATTACATATGTATGTATTTATATATACATTAAAACTGACAACTGATCAACTTTAAATTTATAGAATACAGAGATGAGCATTTCATATCAAAACAAGAACCAAATTCAAGGAAGTGACCATCTGGGGAATTTCAGCCTTTCCTATAATGGTATCTACTATTTAATAAAGGCTTTCTAAGTAACAGGTACCATAATAACACTTTATACGGATTCTCATTTTAATTAACTCCTTGAAAAAGAAATTAGCGTCTTCTTTAATATATAAGGAAACTCAACTTTAGAAAGATTTGGTGATTTGTCCAAAATCACATAACCAGTAAGGAGAATTTAATGTTTGACTCTAAATCTTGAGCTTTTGAGAATCAATAAAGTAGAAATAAATTGTAATCTATCTGTAAAGGTAATACCATTGATAATACCCAGTTGGTAACACTGGGTTCTTAAATTGGAAGGTACATGACACTTATGTGTGCAGGTTAAATACACATGCCTGAACCTACCAAACTTCAAAGACAGACTCTCCAGATATGAGGCCTAGGCACCTATATTTTTTAAACCCCCCCCCAAGATGTTTCTGATGCATACTCCTGTCTAACAATCACTGATACCAACTACATGGAACAAACTAGGGGCAGTATCATGTATGACTTACTTGAAGGCATTTGGAAATGTGTGTGGGGTTTTTGTGGGGTTGGGAGTGGAGGTTGTTACAGTAACTTGGAAGTAAAGATGACATTTAATACTCTGTACCAGGAAAACTACAAGTCCTATAATGCCTGATCAACCCCACAAAACGAAGAACTGACACAATCAAGATGCCAGTAGCATCCTTATTGAAAAAAATAAAACAGACTATGTGGTTCTGAATTTTTTTAAAAAACAGAAAATAGATACTAAGTTGACTTACAGTCCACAAGAAGCTGCATGAAAAACTAGACTCTTTTTTCATTGAGTCTAACACTATATATTTTTTTAATGTGAGGGAAAGAGAGTGAAGGTGTGAGCTGGGGAGGGGCACAGGGAGAGAGAATCTCAAGCAGGCTCCACACCCAGCATGGAGCCCAATGTGGGGCTTGAACCCATGACCCTGGGATTACGACCTGAGCCGAAATCAAGAGTAGGACAGATGCTCAACAAACTGAGCCACCCAGGCGCTCCAGAGTCTAACACTAATACTACTCAGAATCTTGGGTACAAAGGACGTCTACTTTTTTTTAAGTGTATTTTTTTTCTTAAGTTTATTTATTTTGAGAGAGAGAGAGTGTGTGCGCAAGCAGGGGAGAGGTGGAGAGAGAGAAAGAGATAGAGAGAGAATCCCAATCAGGCTCTACACTGTCAGCATGGAGCCCACGTAGGACCAAAACTCAGGAACCCAGAGATCACGACCTGAGCCAAAACCCAGAGTTCGGATGCTTAACCAACTGAGCCACCCAGGCGCCCCAAAGGATATCTAATTTATAAAAACTTACATTTGAAGGTTTCCGCCTCTAAAACCTGGCAGCTGGCTTGATGTTCAAATTGATCATCTTCACAGAGAAAGTTATGACAAAAGGAACAACTAAATATTCTGCCTCCTATTGGATGAAAACATAAAACCCACAAATGTAAAAACGATAAACTTCAATTAAAAAACTCATATCCATAACACTGCTCAATAAGAAAGCAATTTGTTTCAGATTTATACAAAAATGACACAGCAGTTTTTGTTCTGGTAAAAGCTTCGATGAAAACTGCCAAAGTGAACCATAAAAAAGCAGGCTCCCACTATCTCCTGGCTACTTGCAATGCTTACAGACACTTGCGGTCCTATAACTCCCCTCCCTACTGGCTTACATAAGCAGTCCTAACAGTGACTATTACTGCTAGTATAAATCCCTTTTCCAACTAAATTGGTAACCACAACAGTAGTCAGGATTGACAGTATCCTGAAAAAAAATCACAAAAAGAACATCCAGAATGTGTCAAAGTCAGCCCTTCTTACAGTGAAGTTCATTGCTCATATGTAATCACTCACCATGGTCCCAGACACCTCTTTCGCATTCCACACACTCAGCATCAGTAAGAGGGCAGGCACAGGCATGTGTACTGAGACATTTCCTCCCATGGCAAACCCAAGCTTCACAGAAGTCACATATTGCACCCTGCAACCAAGGAACACACAAAAAATGAATCTTTGTCACTTGCCTGGCTGCAACCGTTGTTTAACCAATGGCAACCATCAAAATTGTACACGTTTAGGAATTTAACAACCCTCAGTGATAGTGGGGGCTTCACTAAAGAAAAAATTTTGTTTACACTAAGCCAAAATTAAAGAGGGTTCTCTGAAAATCAAACTACTTCACCAACAACTATTTATAATATACAAAATTTGTCTATAAATCAAAAGAAAAAGCAAGGTGGAAACTATATACTTAAGCCTAATCTTAATCATTAAAGTAAGTCACGGAGCTACAAGTGTTGCCTTCAAACTGAATTCTAATTCAAATGATGTCTGGAGTCCACATTTTAAGCGTTCTTATCTACAGCAATCACAGTAACGAAATTTTTTCAAGTAGAAATATTTTTGAATTAAGAAAACTCCTTCCTGAATCATTTATACATTAATTTACATAGCTTTTCTGGAGTAACTGAGAAAAAATATTAAACTTCTGCCAGCATCTTTTTTTTGTTAAGGCAACTCATGATTTAAATCATTACTACATTTCTTTGTGGAAAAAAAGAAAATAAAATATATAAAACTAAAAAACAGGGTAAGACTCTCCAATTCTACATCAAGATAGACCAACTATACCTTTCAATAACACAATGACATCTACAGAATATTAATTGCTAGAATGAATCTTAAGAAAATGGGATTAGATTTCTTTCCTTTACAGATAATAAACAGTGGCCCAAGTCTTAACTCCAAATCCCAGAGCAAAATTATAGTGGAGCTGAGATTTAAACCACGGTGTTCTGAACCTCAATTCAGTGTTTAGCATTCAAGACTCTGTAACAGAAGCCATAAAGAGCAAATACGAAGGATGTTTTTTGAGATGTAAATATGGACTACCACTGTGGATTGCAAATCCTCAAATACATTTCTTGGAACATTCAGTGTTCTAGCACCAAAAAGATGACATACAGAATAATCCAGGACAGTTTAAAAGCTTAAAAGAAATAATTTACAAAGGACAAGGAAGGGCTTAGAATAAACATAAGGTATGATGTAGTTACCACCCCTGAGCCTGAAATAAGGGAGCGGAAGGAGTTACCAGAATCTTAAGAAACAACCAGTATGGAGAGGATTACATAGCCATATAGAGAGAAACTGTGGCCAAATCATGCCCAAACTAGGATAACCTGGTAGGGAGTGAGTGAGGGAGAATAAACACCCAGATTTTATCATCCTCCCATCTACAGGTCTCCTGCCAACGTCTTCCATTGGGTGAACCCAAAGTGAAGCCATAAGGTAAGAAAGCCACTGATCCAATCCATACACACAGGTCAGGCTCCCAGGGCAAAGCAGGGTCAAGAAGAGACAAGGTAGAGGGAATTTCAACAGACAATTAGAAGATTCCCAGAAAATCATTTTTCTAGAATGTAAAGCTAACGATACAGGAGTCTATTGAAATGTTTTATACAAACAATCATTCACATTCACACAAGTTAGTGAATTTTTTTCAATTTTTCTTTTTTTAAAAGAGAGTGTGCAAGCAGGGAGAGGGGCAGAGGGGGAGAGACAGAATCCCAAGCAGGCTCCACACTCGATGTGGAGTCCAATGCGGGGCTCAATCACACGACCCTGGGATCATGACATGAGCTGAAATCAAAGAGTCATACACTCAATCGAGCCACCCAGATGCCCCTACAACTTAGCGAATTTTTTTAAAAGCGTTTAATAAATTTGGGCATAAGCAAGCTACCAAGGAAGATTACATTGATTTATGAATAAAGATAACATTGAAAATCCTATATTTAAAATGAGGAATTCACAAGATACTTATGAATAAGTCTAGTTTCTTGCTTCTTTAAGATATGCACATATGGAATATATTAAGGTCTGCTTCATGATGGAAAATTAAGTTCTTGGGAAGTTACTATAAATAAAATATCTGGGGTGCCTGGGTGGCTCAGTCTGCTGAGTGTCCAACTTCGGCTCAGGTCATGATTTCATGGTTTGTGAGTTTGAGCCCTGCATTGGGCTCTGTGCTGACAGCTCCGAGCCTGGAGCCTCTTTCAGATTCTGTCTCCCTCTCTCTCTGCTCCTCCCCCACTCATGATCTGTCTCTCTCTCTCTCTCTCTCTCTAATAAAGAATTAAACATTAAAAAAATAAATTAAATAAATAAAATATCTGTTTGACATAGAAATACTATTGCCTTCCTCATGGAATGAAATCTGCACCAGAGCATAAAATCACACAACAGAATACAGTAAAATTGGTTGAAAGGAAGAGAGAGTAAAATCCATCACACAACACTACTATTTTAATTACACCATACCTCATTTTATTGCATTTCATTTTTTTATATGCTTTACAAATAGTGTAATATTTTTTTCAAATTCAAGGTATGTGGCTTTTCTGCACCATCAGTGTCATTTTCCCAACAGCACTTGCACACTTCGTGTCTCTGCACCACACTGTGGTAATTCTCATGATATTTCACTTTATTATTTTATCTATCATGGTGACCTGTGATCACTGATCTTTGTTATTACTATTGTAATTGTTTTAGAGTACCACACACTGTGCCCATATAAAACAGCAAACTTAATCAGTAAATGTTGTATGTATTCTGACTGTTCTACCGACCAGCTGTCTGTCTATCTTTCTCCCTCTCCTTGGGCCTCTCTATTCCCTGAGCCACAACAATATGGAAATTAAACCAGTTAATGACCCTACAGTAGCCTCTACGTGTTCAAGTGAAAGAGTCGCACATTTCTTACTTTTAACTCAAAAGCTAGAAATGATTAAGCTTCATGAGGAAGGCAGGCTGAATGCCAAGACAGGCCAAAAGGAAGCTTCTTGTGCCAGATACTCAGCCATGTTGTGAATACACACACACAAAAAAAGCTCTTGAAGGAAACTAAAAGTGCTACTCCAATAAACACATGAATGATAAAAAAGCAAAACAGCCTTATGGCTGATATGGATTAAGTCTGAGTGGTCTGGATAGAAGATCCCATCAGCCACAATATCCCCTTAAGCCAAAGCCTAATCCAGGGGAAGGCCCTAACTCTCTTCGGCTCTACGAAGGCTGAGAGGTGAAGAAAAGTTTCAAGTGAAGAAGAGGCTGGTTCATGAGCTTTAAGGAAAGAAGCCATCTTCGTAACATCTAAATGCAAGCTGAAGCAGCAAGGGTTGATATAGAAGCTGCCACAAGTTATCCAGAAGATACAGCTAAGATAAATTAATGAAGGTGGCTACACCAGGCAACAGATTTTCAATGTTGACAAAATAGCCCCACATTGAAGATGCCATGTAGGACTTTTATAGCTAGAGAAGAGAAGTCAATTCCTGCCTTCTAAGTTTCAAAGGACAGGCTGACTCTCCTATTAGAGACTAATAATAAAGCTGGTGACTTCAGGTTAAAGCTAATGCTAATTTACCATTCTGAAAAGCCTACGGCCCTTAAGAATTATGCTAAATCTATTCCGCCCATACTCAATACATGGAAATAGAAAGCCTAGATGACAGCACATCTATTTACAACATAGTTTACTGAATACTTTAAACCCACTGTTGAGACCTACTGCTCAGAAAAAACGATTCTTTTCAAAATATTACTACTCACTGACAGTGCACCTGGTACTCAAGAGCTCTGATGGAGACATAATGAAATTAATGTTGTTTTCAAAAGGCCTGCTAACACAACATCTGTTCTGCAACCTAGGGGTCAAGGAGTCATTTGATTTTCAAGTCTTTTTATTTAAGAAATATATTTCATAAGGTTATAGCTGCCATAGAGAGTAATTCATCTAATAGATCTGGAAAAAGTAAATTGAAAAGCTGAAAAGGATTCACAATCCTAGATGCCTTCAAGAACATTAGTGATTCATGGGAACAGATCAAAATATCAACGGTAATGGGAATTTGGAAGAAGCTGACTCCAACCGTTACGGATAATTACTGGGGCTCGAGACTTCAGTGGAGAAAGTAACTGTAGATGTAGAAATAGCAAGTGGAGCCTGAAGATGGGACTGAATTGCTGCAATCTCACAGTAAAACTTGAACTGATGAGAAGCTCCTTGTTACGAATAAAGAAAGTGGTTTCTGGGATGGAATTTACTCCTGATGAAGACACTGGGAAGATTGTTGAAATGACAGCTAACGACTGAGAATATGACATAAAATTGGTTTAAAAGCAGGGCGCCTGGGTGGCTCAGTCGGTTAAGCGGCTGACTTCAGCTCATGATCTCGCGGTCCGTGAGTTCGAGCCCCGCGTGGGGCTCTGTGCTGACAGCTCAGAGCCTGTTTCAGATTCTGTGTCTCCCTCTCTCTGACCCTCCCCCGTTCATGCTCTGTCTCTGTCTCAAAAATAAATAAATGTTAAAAAAAAAAAAAAAATTTTTTTTAAAAATTGGTTTAAAAGCAGTGACAGGGTTGGAGAGGACTGACTGCAATTCTGAAAGAGGTTCTTCTGTAGGTAAAGTACTATCAAACAGTGTCACGTGCTATGGAGAAATCATTCGTGAAAGAAGAGTCAACTGATGCAGCACTTTATATTGCTGTCTTATTTTAAGAAATTGTAACAGCCACCCCCACCATGAGCAACCCCCAGCCTGATCAGCAGCCAACAACATCAAGGGAAGAACCTCCACCAGCAAAAGATTACAATTCCCTCCCTGAAAGATCAGGTGATGGTTAACATTTTATAGCAATATTTTTAAATTAAGGTACATAAAATGTTTCTTTAGACTAATGCTATTATACATTTAATAGACTACAGTATAGTGTAAACGTAACCTTTATTTTTAAGTTTATTTATTTTTGAGAGAGAGAGCAATTGCACACTTGCGCAAGTGGCAGAGGGGCAGAGAGGGGAAAAGAGAGGATCCCAAGCAGACTCCACACTGTTGGTGCAGAGCCCAAAGCAGGGCTCAACTCACAAACCGTGAGATCATGATCTGAGCCAAAATCAGGCACTTAACCAACTTAGCCATCCAGGTGCCCCTAAACATTAACCTTTATATGCAATGGGAAAGCATATAAATCATATAGAAATTCATGTGATTTGTTCTATTGTGATATTTGCTTTATTGCAATTGTCTGGAACCAACTCACAATATCTCTAAGGTATGCCTGTATTTTAAACAATGGATTTCCTTAGAAAACTCTACATCTAATGAGGAAATTATGTATAAGCCTATGTTAAATATGTATTTTTTGAAATGTAAAGCTATAAAAAATCTACTAATGTTACGTGCTTTTGAAACTAGGTTACCTTGTAACCAAAGCCTGAACCTTGCTTAAGAAGGATATTCAGTATAGTAAGTGCTGAGTTCTATGAAATCTGAATAAGACACTCTAGAAAGGTACCAAGGACAAATGAATTTTTAAGTCAACTTTAAATAAGTTTCCATTTCTTGTATGTTTTCCAAAAAGAAAAGAGGAAGCAATCAAAAACAAGTGGGTATTAAAGGAAAATCATACAAAGAACATTCCACAGATAATCCAGAAAAACTCCAGATTGACTTAATCAAGGACAAAGCAGTGCTATTTAGAAAAAATCACCATCGGTCACAAAGACTTCTTATCCTTGGAAACCTGCTAGTCTAAGAGATGAAGACAAAAAACTTACCACCATTGCAAGGCCAGTACTATAAACACCAGCATGCTTTATGACACAGTCTGAAGACTTCATCATGCACTTGGTTTTCCCTAGTAAAGAAACAAATGTGGATTATTAGCCTTGCAAAGGAGTACACATAAGTACTCACTGATTCCACTTTCTATCTAGCCTAAATTCCTATGGAAATAATTTGAAAATGGATAGAAAGCAGCAGTTCACTGCTTATGTTACTAAAAAAAGAAGCTAGATATAACTGAGATCTAACCTGAATCAGCTCTTTTAAGATTAGAAATTTATTAGGGGAGCCTGGGTGGGTCAGTTGGTTAAGCATCCGACTTCGGTTCAGGTCATGATCTCGCAGTTCATGGGTTCAAGCCCTATACATCGGGCTTTGTACAGACAGTGAGGAGCCTGCTTGGGATTCTCTCTCCTCCTCCTCCTTCTCCTCTTCCTCCTCCACCTCCTCCTCCTCTCTGCCCTTTCCCCATTCATGTTTTCTCTCTCTCAAAATAAATAAATAAACTTAAATTTATTAGTAAATCTATAGAAATGTATTGCATGATAAAATTATATGCTAATTACTGTTTGTACTAAAAATCAGAAACTGCAGGTTAGAGTTTGTAATCTAACAATCAGTAAAGTGGTTTAAAATCTTATGAATTTTCAGATGAATTAATACAGATTTTAAAAAGATATGCTTTGAAATAAATTTTACAGTCTGTAATTCACAATAAACAGTCTGGTTTGAAGTTATTGCTTACTTCTTTCCACAGAATATCTCAAACCAAACCAAACCATGATTATGCAACTTACCTGGTTCATTAACTTTATAGAAACCTAAAAACATGGCCTCTTTGAAAATTAAAACTACACTAGAAATATTCAGGGATATAGCCCTAAACACTGCTAATTTTCTGCAATGTTATCATACATGAACACATTTAAATGAGCATATCGCAAACTGTGTTCTACCTTAAACCATTATCCCATAACTGAAGGAGACATTTGTTGAAACGAAAGTTTGAGAAGTATGGCACGAATAAAATGAATCAGGTTTCTTTACGGGAGGTCTTCAGAACCTTTAACATAAAAGTATGTAATAGAAATCTCCCAGATGTAAACAAGGACATGAAACAAACAGCATTTCTCAAATGTATGCATTATTTTAAGAAACACCTATTAATATCTCAAGTACTCTGTGGAAGACTATTTTGGAAGCACCAACCTTGTTGTTCTATGAACTACCATTTAGTTTTACTTTGAATAATCATTTACTCTGAATAAAGGTTTTCACTTACACTTGGCAACTGAGTACATGGCTTAGGAACTCTATTGCAATCACCTGGGAAAACATATGAGGAAACTCAAGAATCCTATGCTAAGTGCCAAAAAGAAAAAATTGGCACCAAGAAAATGTGGAATAAAATGATTCTCAATGGTCTAAGATACTGTGGGCAATTTCAGCAGGAATCAAAACTTAAAAAAAGTATACAAATAGATATCAACAAGACTAAGTTAGTATAACTAAAAATTAAGATCACCAAATGTTATTAGTCTGAAATCTGATCTTATAATGTTACAACGTATCAGAGAGACAAAATCAAGATGTGATAGTGTTTGACAAGCCAAATAACAATTTGCTATTTCATTAATAAGTTTTTTTTTTTTTAATTTTTTTTTCAACCTTTTTTATTTATTTTTGGGACAGAGAGAGACAGAGCATGAACGGGGGAGGGGCAGAGAGAGAGGGAGACACAGAATCGGAAACAGGCTCCAGGCTCCGAGCCATCAGCCCAGAGCCTGACGCGGGGCTCGAACTCACAGACTGTGAGATCATGACCTGGCTGAAGTCGGACGCTTAACTGACTGCGCCACCCAGGCGCCCCTCATTAATAAGTTTTAACATTACTGTAAACAATGATAAACCCATAGAATCAAACTGATTAACCACAAAACAAATGTTTGATAAAAGAAAAGGCATATAGGGGTGCCTGGGTGGCTCAGTCAGTTAAGCGTCCAGTTAAGCTCAGTCAGTTAAGTTTCATCTTGGTCATGATCTCATGGGTTTGTGAGATTGAGCCCGGTGTTGGGCTCTGTGCTGACAGGGTGGAGCCTGCTTAGGATTCTCTCTCCCTCTCTCTGCCCCTTCCCTGCTTGCGCTCCCTCTCTCTCTCAAAATAAACAAACATTAAAAAAAAAAAAAAAAAGAAAAGGCATATGTCCTTAGGTATCATATACTTACCACACTGTGCACAAATTGGTAACTTCTGTACAGAATTGCAAAAATAGCAAAATGCTCTATTCTTCTGCCGCCTTGTCATGTAAAATAAAATTTTAAAATAGGGTCACTATCAGATAAAAGGTGAGAGATCTCTGTTATTACATATAAAAAGAAATAAACATTTACCTCTGACACTTGTCACATTCCTATAAAATATAAAAACAGAACATTAAGTTTCTACGGACTGAAAACTACAAATTTACTTGCATTATAAAAAATACCTTATTTTTCATGTTAAAACTTAAGTTAACACTTCCCAAAGTCTCCAACTTCACCCATGTAAACAAGCATCTATACATACTTTAATAATAAAGGTATGTCCTTGGGCATACCACACAGAGCAAGAAGTGGTATCTCCACAAGAGGTGAAATAAATAAAGCAGTGGTTTGTGTTTTGGTTGTGTTCTTTGTTTTTGTTATTGTTTTTTAGTCAGACAAGTATTACAGAACGGACATAAGAAATCCAGAACACAGTATGATGAAGCTCCCAGAAAACCTAGAATCCTAAACATGGTACTAAAAGCTCTCGACAATCTGGTCCCTAAACACTTTCAAACCTTGCTAGCCTATTCTCTCTAGATTCAAGTTGCTATTGTCAGTCATTCATGAAATATGTCTTCTACTCTCTCTTTTCCATGCCTTACTATTCTAATACTTTTCCTTGAAAAGCCTATCCTTACAATCTTCACCTGTTCAAAGTTCTGGTGATGATCCCACTTCCTCTATGAACTGTACCCCATCAACACACTCAAATTTATCACCTCTTAGCCCAGATGTACCCTAGTCTTAATTGTACATCTGTGACAAGACAACACTTACCAAACTCTAGCCTTCACTATGTATATTTATGTATGTGAGTCATTTCTTGTTTTGTCTGTTCCATATCCATCTTCTCTAAAAAATGACCCTGAAGGGAGTCTCTACCATCTGTCCTGTGTTATGTAATCCTGGTCCCTCCCACACGTGATGACAGCCATAAACGTTAGCCCTGGCTGGGCACCTGGCCAAGTCCAATCAGAGTTTTTTCCCTCTCTGAGGAAATTATGTGATGTGAGATACACAGGCTACCAGTATGTACGAACCCAAACAAATGGAGTAAGACAACACGAGAAAATGGAACTAATAAGCAAAAAGAAACACAAGCAAAAGATGGAACTACAAGTTTGTTCCAGTTGTCCCTGAGTTCCAGCTACATCCATGCCCTTCCCAAGTACATGTTAGTCAATAAACTCTAGTTCTCCCTAAAGTTACTTAAGTTGGATTTGTCACTTACAAACAACAAGACAACTGATTACTATAAACTTGTGGAAACAGGGGCTGCGTCACTCATCTATCTATACCCCATCTTTTTGCCTAAAATGTACCTGGCAAAAAGTAAATGCACAAGAAACATTTGTGGAACTGAGTCATATTAAGCATTTCATATGTTTGGATGAAACAAAAGAAGACTGAGGAGTAGCAGGAATAGAAAAAGTAGAGAAGACTGGAAATAGAGAAATAAGGGACAACTAAGAGAAACATAGTCAAAGAAAGGAAAGGGGTTATAATCACATGATAATTTCGCTTTTTAACACTTTGACCAAAGAAGCCCAGAAACAATCAAGACTAACCCACTGCGCACAGGAAAATAAGGTAATAGTTAGCCAAAAGAGAGGTCCAGAAAAGTGAAAAGTTTAGAAAAAAGAAATCACATGAGTTGAGAAGTGCTAAGAGAAATAATGAAAAGCTTCCAACTAATAGAACAAATTAAGTTAATGCATATAAGGTTAGAAAAGCTAGAAAATATCACAGTTCCTAGTATTTACTGTTTCCTATCTATCACC